ACATATGTAAGATAGTAAATAGAACTTTTTATTTGAGGTTTTTAAGAATTATCTGACCCTAGAACTAAATACACTGCATATGTAATCCAGTCAGAAAATAGTTATTACTTGGTGAAAGTTATTACTTGGTGCAATTCAGGAGACCCAGGTTTGATCCCTGGATCGGGAAGATTCCTTGGAGAAGGAAATGGCAGCCCACTCCAGTATTCTTGTCTGGAAAACCCCATGGGCGGAGGAGCCTGACAGGCTACAGTGCATGGAGTCGCAAAGAGTCGGACACGACTGAGTGACTTCACTTTCTTTCTTATCCTTTTGTTCTGTTCTTCGAGGTCCTTTAGTCACGTAGCTGGTTTGTCAGTATATTAGTCAAGCCTCGGTTGTAATGTCAACTCTTCTGTGATGCCCTCTTTGCTCATCTTGGGTTGAGTGGCCCACTCCTTGCGTTGGGCCTCTACTTTATAAAATATTGGGTTGGAGCAATGAGATTTGAAATACCTCTGCTGCCGTAGTCCCTGTGAGAATTTTGGAAGACTGTTCCCTTTTATATTTTTATGATACCTTCTAAAATATTTTTTAATAGCTTTTTTAGCTGTGCTGTCTTCATTGCTGCGTGTGGGCTTTCTCTAGTTTTGCACGAGTGGATCTACTGCCTGTTTGCCGTGTGCGGGCTTCTCACTGTAGTAGCTTCTCTTGTTGAGGAGCCTGGGCTCTAGAGGGTGTGGGCTTTAGCGATTGTGGCTTGAGGTTTCAGTAGTTGTGGCACACAAACATATTGCCCTTTGGCATGTGGGATTTTAGTTCCCGGACCGAGGATTGAATCCGTGTCCCCTGCATTGGCTGGCAGATTCTTAACCGCTATACCACCAGGCAAGTCCCAGCATCTAAAATTTTTATTTAAAAATTTAAATAATTGCAAAGGGCATAATTTCTGACATTTTGTAAATAATGGAATTTTAAAATAAACATTCTTTTAGATGTATCCAACAGAATCTAAATACTATAACGACAGTCCTTTTTTAAAAATGTATTTTAATTGGAATATAATTGCTTTCCAATGTTGTGTTGGTCTCTGCTGCACAACAGCGTGACTCAACTATGAGTATGCATATATCCCCTCTCTCTTAAGCCTCCTTCCCACCTGCCTCCCCCTCAGGTCATCCCAGAGCACCAGGCTGAGCTCCCTGTTCTACACAGCAGCCTCCCGCTAGCTGTCTATTTTATGCATGACAGTGTGTGTGTGTCAGTGCTAACTCTCTTCTTGCCTCCCTGTGCCCACACGTCCATTCTCCATGTCTGCATCTCTATTCCTGCACTGCAAATAGGTTTGTCAGTACCATTTTTCTAGAAAAAATGGTGCTGATAATCCATTTTTTAAAAAACATATGCGCATGCTACCATTGAGGAAAATTGGGAAAACAGTACCAGGTCTCTGTATTATTTCTTACAGCTACATATGAATCTTCAGTTGTCTTGAAATAGAAAGTTTACTTAAAAATAAAATTCTGATCTTGATTTTAAAGTATTTGTTTAAGGTCCTCTTTGTGTTTTCGTTCATTCAATAAATTTTAATTATGTATTGGAATGCTGTTTTAATGTCTGATTGCTTGATAAATACAATGAGTTGAAATATTTACTGAATGTGTCTATTAAATAGATATCTGAGTTTATTCCATAAATGTGTTTTTTAATTGTATAAGGTCAGTGGAAAGTAAATAGACTTTAGATGGTTCACCATGAAACTTAACTATCTGAAATAGTCTTTTGATAGGAAAATGCAATCTTTGTAGAAAGTGATGCAGATAGCATTTTTAGGTGTGAGCAAGAATCTCATCTTCCTGTGACTGATATAAGACAGCCATACTTAAACATCATCCCTCTCTTCCATGAGTGTGTGCCCTTACATTTCAAAAGAATGTCAAAGAAAGCGTGTGTGTGTGTGTGTTTTCATTCAGCTAAATGTATTTCCTGTCAAATTTAGGAAATTTGGAGTAATCTCAAGAGAGTCTTGCTGTCTTGTGCTATGGATAATGTGGGACATTCTTGGGGGGTATTCATGAAAATGACTCATACTCATCTGTAGAGGATGGATATGATAATTTTATCACATTCAGCAGAGAAAAGGAGAAAGTAACTGGTAAGCATCAAAAGAGAAGATAAAGTGAGAAGATGTAGAAGGGCACTAACATTTTTTAAGGCTCTGCTATATTTGGTTTGCACATGTCATTTCATTTAAGTACAGAGAGAAATTTCCTGTGGAAGACTGCATTAACTGGGAAATACAGAGGGAAAAAGAATTAGTTTTGTATATTGTACATTATCTTGTCGGGGGCAAGATACAAGATACACAAAGATGTTGCTTCTGATGTTTCTCCCTTTTGACCACTAGGTGGTGACATTGTATAAAGACAGCTTGGTTGCTGGCATGCCAGTCAAAACATGCATGACTTGGTGTTAGATAACTCTATTTAAAAACTAAGCCCAAGTGTATCACTTAATTTTTTTAATTATTAGTCACTCAGCTTTGTAACACATTCATGGTGATTTTATTGACTTTCCCATTTTATATTTAATTTACATTGTGTACTCTACCCTGAAGTATTTTATAAATACTTCTATGTACCTAAGATACCTAGTAATGATAAACTACAGTTGATAAGCAGGTATACAGATGAAAAAAATGCCCTGACCTCCAAAAAATTCACATACCAAAACAAAATAATTTAAATAAAGGATGCATATTAAGAAACACAGAATATATTAAGCAATAGAAACATGTTAAATAAGTTTGTATTTTATTTACTCTCTTACTGCTTATGGCATAGGTGTACATACCCATTTAGGATTAAGGAAGAAGGGGACACCCAGAAGGTCCTCTCATTTCTGAATAACCCTCCAATATTACTGAGAAGTATATTTTTCATTATGACTTAAAATGGCATAGTACTTTATCTCACAGTTGAAGTTGCTGCCTATTGAATTAGAGGGGTCTCTGTTATTGTATTGAAGGAAACTAGGCCCCTCGTATCCCCAGGTCAGAATGCTAAATGAACTTTTTTCATAGAAAGTATTTTTTGTGATAGTTAAATATAGCTAAAATAGTATTATATGAAGCCTTAATTTAAAAAATCAGACTTGTCCTTTTAGGGGTTTTGGTCTCAGACTTCTCTATTTTTTTTTCCCTCCAGAGTAAATGATCTAGAAAAGCATTTTCTCTTCTGCAAATGAACATTTTCAAGAGATTATCCTTTTTTTTTTAAACATGATTTTTTTCCTGGAGACTTAGCTCATTTTCTCTAGCTTGAGGTGGACTGTTTCTCCACTGTATTCTGATAGACCTTTTTAAAGATCCAGTTTCACATTATGCTAATAGTGTATGGACATGGGGAACTTCCCTGGTGGTCCAGCAGCTAAGGGCTCCCAATGCAGGGGGCCCAGGTTCAGTCCCTGGTGGGGAAACTAGATCCCACATGCTGCAGTGAAGAGTTCGCTTGCTGCAACTGGAAGGTCCTGCATGCCACAACTAAAGATCAGAAATCACATGTATTGCAACTAAGAAGCACAGCCAAATAAATAAATGAAAATAAATACAGTTTTAAACTGTATAGATTTTAATCATTTCAGTTATACTGTACGTGTACTGAACACAGAGTTTCTTGCTTATCCTTGTTATCTGTTATAAACAGAATGTTGCCCCATGCCTTGCATTTAGTAGATTCTCAAATACATCAAATGCATAAGGGAATCTTAGATGGTAAATGCCACAGGATTGTGAAGTGAGTTAATTACCACTGACTGGGAAATAACTTTTTATAGGGTAAAAGTTATTGGCTTTTAAGATAGGAAACCTCCTATGGCCAGTCACTTTAATTTCTGATAAATGGAAGCCATGGACTTACATTTATCAAAAATACTAGTTATAATTTTTGGAACTCAAATTGCATTCTTTTATGCCTGTTTGGAAAATTAAGCCCACATGTCGGACAGTTTCATTATTAATATTCCAAATTACCGATCCTTTGAGGACCTCATTGAAACTACCCACCCGCCTGTTCCCCTTGCTCCTTGCCAACACATTCATAAAAATGTATTATGCATTGGCATACATAATTCTGTATACTGTTTTAGAGGACTCATAGACCTCATGTCAAGAACTTCTGCTTTAGATTCTGCAGTAGATTACAGCTTACTAGTTGAAGATGTGGCTTGATATAATAGAAAAGTAGAAAAATGGACTATCTACAAAATCAGTTCATCTGAGTGAGTTCTACCTCTTATTCTACCTTTGCTAAATGTGATGCTATTTGACAGGTCATATAATGTCTCCATACTTGTTTATCTGTGAAGTGAAGCTGTCGGATAAGAGTAAGTGAGTTAGTACACTGACATGCTTAGAGTAGTACTGGGTGTATAGTATGCTTCCCAGTCTTTATTTGTATTATCTCATGAAGGATTTCAGAATTTTGTGATGCTGTCATTATCATTCCCTTAAGAAAATTACTTTGGTGTGCATGTATGTGTGTGTGTGTGTTGTGTGTATTTGTGTATAATTTTAAAAACTTGGATAGCAACCAACTTATTCTGTTTTTCTGTAACAGAAGTAGTAAGTTTGTTCCGATCCTTTGCTACCTCTGTACTGGCAATGGAAAATGACCTTCTCACTGCAGTGCTACAATTGAACATTCTGAGTCAGAGGATATATGTGCCTGTCTGTGTAAAAGCAACTGGGGAGAAAAAGAGCATTGAGAAAATCTACTCAAGATGTTTTATTAGTGTACTGGTATAACTTGTTAAAGCAGATGAAGCTTTTCTCTATAGTTGCTAAGAACCTTAGTTTTTTCAGAGATTGGATGTATTGTCTTACTGAAAATCCACTATTGTTCATGGAAAATTCTTTATAAAAACAGATTCCATTAATGTTTACAGCAAACAGATTGTATTAAAAATATGTAACTTTTCTGTGTTACCTATTAAGACAAAAACTTTTTTTTAACTCCAATTAGGGAAGAAGACAAAGACATATTTGATTACTGCAGGGAAAACAACATTGGCCATGTAACCAAAGTCATCAAAACAAAAAACATGGATGTGAATATGAAGGATGCAGAGGTATGAAACAAGTCTATTGTCCTTTGCCCAGTAACTATATTTCTAGAAAACTGTCAAAATCTTGGTCAATCCAATTATTTCAATGGAGGTCCACTATTTAAAGGGATCCTATACTAAATTATTTTGTAAAATATATTACTTATTGATTTGTTTTGTGAATAAAACTGTTCACATATTGAGCTTAAACTGTCCCTGAATTATAGTTGTTAAAAAAAGAGGCAAAATTTGGTGATCACTTTGAATCATTTTTCCTTTTTTTGAATCATTTTTCTCATTCTGTGATAATGCGGTAAAGATGATTGAAATGACCATCTTCAATCAAAGGTGGTGCATGTTAGGAAGAGGACATGCGGTGATCATGGATAATGTGTAGAGTAGATAATTGACTTCTGTATTAATTGAGCACTCTCTGTACAGGTTAGCCTTTAATGTTATCTCACTTTTAAGCAACATCTTTTCCTGTAATATGTTTTTATGACATCTGGCACTGAAAACGTAAGACTCTAAATCTACAGTAAAGGAGGACCAGTGATACTGGTCCCATCTCTCTCTCCTCACTCTCTTCAGTTTAGTTCAGTTCAGTCGCGTCCGACTCTTTGCGACCTCATGAATCGCAGCACCCCAGGCCTCCCTGTCCATCACCAACTCCCCCAGTTTACTCAAACTCATGTCCATCGAGTTGGTGATGCCATCCAGCCATCTCATCCTCTGTCATCCCCTTCTTCTCCTGCCCCCAATCCCTCCCAGCATCAGAGTACATCATGAGAAACGCTGGGCTGGATGAAGCACAAGCTGGAATCAAGATTGCCGGGAGAAATATCAATAACCTCAGATATGCAGATGACACCACCCTTATGGCAGAAAGTGAAGAGGAACTAAA